GGGTGTGGCCACGCGAAAGCGGGCGTGGTCCGAGGGAGGGGGCGGGGCTCGGCGGAAGGAGGCGTGGCCAGGTCTAGGGCGGGGAGCGGGGTCGGAGCTCGGCTCGTAGGGTGAGGGCACGGGCAGGGGGCGTGGCTCCCGGCAGGGGGCGTGGCTCCCGGCAGGGGGCGTGGCTCCCGGAGTCCCCACGGAGCCCGTAGGGACGGGGACCCCGTGTGCACGGACGGGGCAGAGACCCCCTCGGGATGGAGACGCCCCAAACCCGGCTGCGCTGCCGGCGCCCCGGGGCTGAGCATCCCCCAAACGTGGGGCTGAGCACCCCCAACCCTGCGGCTGAGCACTTCCAGCCCTGCAGCTGGGCACCCCCAAATGTGGGGCTGAGCACCCCTCAAACCTGGGGCTGAGCACCCCCAAAATGTGGGGCTAAGCACCCCCAAAACATCGCGGCTAAGAATCCCCGAAACAGCAGGGCTAAGCACCCCCCACACATTGGGGCTGAGCACCCCTACGTATTGCGGCTGAGGACCCCACACACATTAGAGCTGAGCCTCCCCTACGCTTTGGGGCTGAGCACCCCCCATTTGTTGGGGCTGAGCACCCCCCAGTTTGTTGGGGCTGAGCACCTCCCATTTTGGGGGTTCAGCACCCCTAGACATCAGGCCTGAGCCTCCCCCCCACATTGGGATCGAGCATCCCCCCATTTATTGGACCTCAGCCCCCCCCCCAATGCTGAGCACCCCTAAACACCAGACCTCCCCTCATTTGGAGGGGCGGGGACGGGACAGGACCGGGGCCTCCTCTTCCCCTCCAGGTCCCACAGGCTGGAGGGGCCCCCCCAAACCGGTTGCTGCCCCCCAACCCCGACACAAAGGGGGTCCCCGCTTGTGTGCCAGCACCCTAATTAACGGGGTTGGGCCCGGGGGGGGGGGGGGGCTGGGGTTTGGGAGGCAGATAATGAAGGGGGGGGGCAGCCCCCCAGCTGCACCTCAAAACTCTTCCTTAAGCCAAGACTAACAAGCAGCAATGAGATATGGGATATGACACACCCCCCAAAAGAAAAACCCAACCCAGCCCCCCAAGGAGGATGGTTTGGGGGGGTCCTATGGACCCCCCAGTTGGCATCACCCACCCGGGGCTCGTTAATTAAACGCTTTAATTAGGGCAGTGTTGGTTAAACAAATGGGGGGGGGGTGGGTAGGACAGGATTGGGGGGGGGGGCTGCCTGCTCCTGCCTGCTGCAGCACATCTGGCAGGAGAGCAGCCGGGGAGCAATCAGGGGCCGTAATTATCCCCTTGTAATTAGGGGGATTAGGGGCTGGCGGCAGAGCGGAGGGGGCGGCAATAACCCCCCCTGAGCGGGGAGGGGGGCAGGTTCTTTTGTCACCGCCTGCCTGGCCCCAGGGGTATATCCCCAACGCCAGCCCGGCCAGTGTCCCCAAAGGGACGTGTCCCCCCACTGCCACCGTGTCCCCAAAGGGATGTCCCTGCCACCAACGCATCCCCAAGGGGATGTCCCTGCTGCCAGCCTGTCCCCAAAGGGAGGCACCCGCTGCCACCCCCGTGGCATGTCCCCAAAGGGAGGTACCCACTGCTGGTGTGTCCCCAAAGCGATGTCCCCGCTGCCAGTCCTGCAGCGTGTGCCCAAAGGGATGTCCCTGCTGCCACTGTGTCCCCAAAGGGCTGCACCCACTGCTACCATGTCCCCAAAGGGATGTCCCCAAAGGGATGTCCCCACTGCCACCATGTCCCCAAAGGGATGTCCCCAAAGGGATGTCCCCACTGCCACCATGTCCCCTAAGGGATGTCACCACTGCCAGCCCTCTGTCCTGTCCCCGAAGAGCTGCACCCACTGCCAGCCTTGCCATGTGTCCCCAAAGGGACGTCCCCACAGCTGCCACATCCCCGAAGGGATGTGCCCACAGCTGGTGGCCCCAAAGCCAGCTGCCCACGGGGACGCATCCCCACGGCTGGGCGCCCACGTCCCCAAGCCCTGGGGGGGGGTGGCACCAGGCCCCCCCCCCTCCATCCCCATCCCTGTCCCTGAGCCCACTGGCACCACGCCGTATGGAAACACCCCTGCCCGGGAGCTAATCAGGCCCCAATTAGAGGGGGCTCACCATAAGCCGGGGGAGGAATGCAAATGAGGTTAACGGTTAATTAGGGATTGAAAAATTCATTATTCCTCTAGAGCAGCTGATTGCGATGCAGCCGCGCGTCCCCATTAGGGCCATTTGACCGCTTGCTAATGACACGGCGGCGGGGGGCTCGTGGGTTCCCCCCCAACCCGCCAAATGCCTCCAGGAGTCATTCCTGGAGTGAGTTGTGCCTGTTCTCAGCCTCCCTGCAGTGGGTTGCTTCAAGTGGTTGTGGTTGTTCTCAGTGGGGCTCACCCATGCACTGAATTGTGGCTGTTCTCAGCCAGGGCTCACCTGTGCAATGAGCTGTGGCTCTTCTCCACTAGCATCACCCTATGCAATGAGTTGTGGCTGTTCTCAGCTGGGGTTCACCTGTGCAATGAGCTGTGGCTGTTCTCAGCCGGAATCGCCCCGTGCAATGAATCGTGGCTGTTTTCAGTCAGGGCTCACCCGTGCAATGAATTGTGGCCATCCTCAGCTCCGCAGAGACGCACGCATGGTATGACAAACAGCTCGGGGCAGTGGTGGGGAAACATCCCCCTGCTCCCCAACGCTCCCCCACCACCTTGCTTGAGCCAGCCTTCCAATTCAATGAAGATAATCAACGATTAGCCAAAAAGCCAAGCAGACAATTCATTAGATATAGACTAGTGTTTACTGCAATTTACTGACCCATTCATAATTAACCTCCCATCACCAAAATATGCCGCCGAAAAGAAGTATAAACTTATTAATGGTGACGGTGGCTAATTAAAGCCAAAGCTGTAATCATCCTGAGATGTGGCCGTGGGCAGGAAAGCGCAGTGACTGATGAAAGGCGAGAAAAGATGCTCAATTCAATATTTAGGAGGATGTGGGGATGTGGACTGAGGCAGCGCCCTGCTACCATGCCCTGGTACCCATCAGCATCCTCAGGGGCTGCATCCCATATCCAGCTGCCCTGTCCGCTGCACAAAGGGGACCCAGGCGGGCTAATTCGGTGTGGGGAATATCGTCACGCCTCCGCCTTTGTCTCCCTTTCAAAGCCAATATCCCGGCCCCAGATGGGTTAATACATAATGCAGACAAGCAAGTAATTGCTTGCCTTTGTAGGGCCGTCAGCGCTGGGTCCCCGGCCCTCTGATCCCCCATTAGCAGCCATGCAAACAAGCCTTCCACCCAATTAAGCCCAGCTTTGATAGAGCCTTTCCCAATGATGTGCCGGTCCCAAACTAGCGATTCACACATGAGCCACTACCTGTTAAACCCGGAGTCGTCTTCCTTCGGGGACGAACATCCCTCGCCTCTTGCCGTGACCCAGCTGCTGAGCTCTGCCCGGCTTCCCCCGGCCCTGAAGGGAGGCTCGGCTGATAAATGATCTCGACAAACTCTATATTAAAGAGGTGGAAATGGGATGTTAATATACCCCGAGTCGCTCGTTTCGAGAACACATGGGCTCCGGCTTCCCAAAGACGGCGGTAATGAGGCGAGCTGGGACGCCCCGCGAGGAGACCTCAACCCACCGGCCTCCTGCGTCTGCCAGGCGTGCAGGGAAGACAGCCTGACACCCGTCCTCTGCGGCGTCCCCATGCCGTCCCACAGAGCACCTCCGGGCCATCCCCTAAAGCATCTCAATCTGCTCACCTAAAGCATCTCGGCATCATCCTCTAAAGCATGCCAGCGCGCTCCCCTAAAACATCTCTGGTTATCCCTTACTGCATCCCGGCATCATCCCCTACAGCATCCCAGCATCATCCCCTAAAACATCCCGGCATCGTCCCCTAAAGCATCCCAGTACACTCCCCTAAAGCTTCCCAGCATCATCCTCTAATACATTCCAGCATCGTCCCCTAAAGCATCCCAGTATCATCCCCTAAAGCATCCCACCGTCATCCTCTCAAGTATCCCAGTACACTCACCTAAACACCCCAGTGCCCTCCCCTAAAGCATCTCACTATCATCCTCTAATACATCCTGGCATCCCAGCATCGTACCCTAAAGCATCCCAGCATCATCCACTAAGACATCCCAGTATGCTCCCTGAAGACATCCCAGCATCATTCCTTAGGGCATGCCAGCATCATCCCCAAAAGGATCCCAGTGTCACCCCTTACAGCATCCCAGTGCCACCCCCTCCAGCATCCCAGTATCATCCCCTCCAGCATCCCAGTGCCATCCCCTCCAGCATCCCAATGCCACCCCCTCCAGCATCCCAGTATCATCCCCCAAAACATCCCACTATCATCCCCTAAACCATTCAA